GTATGAATGTATATATATATTTGCTCAATTTACTCAACCAGGTTTAGAGGATCCAGTTTGGTTCAGCAAATTCAACAATTTATTTATTAGAATGTGTAAAAGTACCCGTAGCTACTTTTACTTTCCCAATTTTTGTAAACAGTTTTATGACTTTTACTTGAGTAGTTTTCTCATCAGTGAAATTTATTTTTACCAAAGTCATTTTCTGTTCCTGTAATTTTACTTTTACTTAGTTCTTTTTTCCCCAAGTACTTTATAGACCTCTGTTCTTTGTTCTCATAATTAAAAAAACATTAAATCTCTTAGTATGGCCCCACTCCGTTATGCCTGTGCTGCCAAAATGTGTCACAATGAATTTTTCTAAATATTGTATTGTATGATTATCCATGCAGAAATTTGAAATGACAAGTAGTTCGATAAAATTTTGAAACCCGTCACCTTTTCTGGGAACAGTTCCTGACCATTTTTATTGGTTTGAAATGCAGAGGCGCCTCCAGAAATCTTTAATGGGGGCAGCCGTGTGGGGGCCATTGAAAACCTTGGGGTGGCACAACACCAAAAGCCAGACTAGAATTTCAAAAAATGTATTAAGTTGTTGTCATTTATAGGTTAATGTCACTCCCTTTTACCTGTTTGTGGACAGTTTTTTGAAGACACAATTTCAGCTGCTTCCTCTTCTTCTTGTCATTTCTTTTGATGATCTGAGTGACACACTGCTGCTATAAAAAGGAGCTCCTTCCTGGGATTATTTACACTTCTTCAGGCTCACAGCTTCCAGCGCCAAACGCAGGAGCAGTTTTTAGCCAGTATGTGCACCCCGTTTCCTGTAAACCTGTGGCTTGCACAACAAATTCTGCTTCCTATGTCAGAGGGCCTCCAAACTGATGAGCTAATGCTAGTCTGAGCGGGGCAGAGATTAGGGCGGATTCCTACTTACGAAAATTTTGACTTTTATAAATTGCTGTGAATTGCAGATTATGTAGTTAAGCACATAAAATTGTATGCATGTTTTAAAAGCAATATGTGACAGCAGCAGCTGGCTGCAGCACTTCTGGCAGGGATATTTATTTCTGCTGTTGTTGAATTGTTGTTTTGAGACAGCAGCAATCCACGTTGATCTTGTCCTTTTTCTAACTAGCCATTAGCTCATCAATCCAGTCAGAATTAAAGCATAATCTGAAAGATAGTCCTAAAAGGTATATGTTTACCGAGTCTTGCATGAATTTTCAAGCAATAATAAAAGATTTAAAATAATATTCTGGTCTGTTCAGAATTAAGTGTTTGCTTCCAAAGAACCAGGAACAAACAGCTAGCTTTGAGTGAAATGGTTCAGTGTGTCACAATTTATTGGAGAAAGGGTCTCAGCGGTCACTAAGTATGAGTTTCTTATTTTGTGGGAGGAGTTGGCCCAAGAGGTGATTGGTCAGATTGACGGTGGGGTTTAAAGAAGCTGGGGTCAGAGAGGCGTAGTTTGGTCGAGTCAGGCAGGAAATGCCTGTTTTTTAAGATTAATTAGTCATAACTTGCGACAGGAAGCTGCTAGCTGCATGAAATCTGAACGCCGTACATGTGGAGGGACGTGTAACAATTTGGCTCAGTCAAAACATCCCTAACCAGCCTGTAGAAAAGCGCTAAAAATCAATATCAATATGAATTTTAGTCATAATTTAAGACAGGAAGGTGCTTGCCGCACAGAATTTGAAGTCAATAAATTATGTTTAAGTTTTCACAATAATTTTTATTTGGGTCATTGTTGTTTTAAACTGTATAGACAGACAATAAATGATATTATTTTGCTATTATCATTATTTCTTATTTTAATCTGACCAATTACGTTGGTCCTCAGCCCACACAGCAACGCCACCCATCAAAATTAGGGTCAACCACGCCCACATCAAGACCTCCACCAATCACAGGAAAGGCCATCTCCGCCCACAGGACATGTACTGCAGAGATTTGTCAGAATCTACATTTTGAAAAGAGTCTTCACTTGATTCAGGAGATCCAGTTGTCAGTTCAGGTTTGTACGTCTTCATTAGACTTAAGGCATGCTCCCACATTTCTATATAAAATCCTAAAGACTGCCCTACAACGTTCTRTCATACCTGTCCACCACACTGATGACATCATCCAGGGCGGTAACTCTTCCCACATATTCACCCCACTTTGGGATTTTGACACACACAAAAACAACAACATTAAAGTGATAAACTAGAGATAATGGCCACTACAATGTTATATGAAGGTGCCTGACTAAACATGAAAACTCATTATTTGAATATTTCATGTCACTTTTAAACTCAAATTTTCTAAGCTAATGTTAAAAGAACTATTTACAAGTAAAATATTGATCTTTCATAACTTCAAGTATCACTTAAAAAGACGTAATTTACAGCTCCAACATGCCATTACTGAAGTGGCACTAATGACCCCTCAGATATCTTTAAACAGCTGCTCTGCTGCAGCAACAGGAAATGACATAAAAATAAATAATGCAAAAGAGCTTTCCTGTAACACTCTTTGCTCTTTTACTGTTGGGCTAAAGATTTCACAGTGAAACTATAAAGAAAAGAAGGCTAACCAAATTGGATTTTACTCATAAAACTGCCTGATGATGATGAGCGTCGATCTTAAAAATAAAATAAAATCTCATCAATGTCACTGAAAACAGATTATTGAGATTAAACAGGAAAAAAACAGGGGCAGCAATTTTATTGTCTTTATTTCTTTCTTTCAATAAATTTTACACTAACTTGCTGGAAACAAAAAAACAATTGACTATATAAACATAAAGTAGCACAAAATATATGCAAAAGAATACATTTAAAAGGATTACATTTGAAACTATGAAATCAAGGAGGGTGTTTTTTATTTATTTATTTATTTAAAGAAAAGGTGGACTGCAACAATCACTTTAAAATCTTCACTCTGGTTTTGGCGTCCTCTAGTGGCGCCAGCTGTGAATTGAAAAACGTCAGCTCTTTTGTTGCAGTCCTCCTTTTTTGGCCACATTAAAACCTTAAAAAATATATAAAGATTTATCCTCAACGTGAAGCTCAGAAGGGATTTTCAGAGGTGAAAAGCAGTTCAAGTGTATTTAATACATTTCATAAGAGCTTTTAAGAACGTAAAACCTTTAAGCACAATGGACTCAAGATAAGGCAAAGTTTTTGGATAAGCTGAGTCAGTTCACCATCAAAAGTGCTTCTTTTTCCTGTTTTTTTTGTTTGTTTTTTTGTCTTTTTAAACCATCATCAATCAACAAAAAGAAACTTTAACATCTCGAGAGGACTTCCAAACCAAGACTTTTTTTTTAAATTGCTAGAAACATTCAGTACAATATCATTTAATAAGGAAATTAAAGTGGGGTTTTTTTCTCCACCATGCAGCAACATGTTGAATTAATTACCGGTGCCTTTGACTGATGAACAGATGTGCTGGGACCTTTAAACTCTTAAAAGTACAAAATTAAAATAAAACAATTAAAAAAGTGCAATCCTAAACTCTAAATCTACATAAAATAAACTGTCTCAGAACTTAAAGGTCCTTTATTGGGGATGAGTACTTCTGAACGTAATAATTTATAGAATATTTATTTGTTTTATATATATTCATATATATATAGATTTATATGTAATTATATAGGATTGATGGATTTAAATCTAGAAGTGTTACAGTCTTAGCACTAGATCTGCTAATGAAAATATCAGGTTTTAATTTCAATGAATAGGAAATGGTCTTTACATCTACCTCAGTGTTCTAGCAAAAACAAACAAAAACAACGTAATGTCATTTACAAAAATACGAACTTTAGTAACTGCAACATTTGGTTGCCACAGCAACAACTTAATATTGTTATGAAATACTATCATCCTAGAGTGAAAAGTACATTTTTTTTATTCTTTTAATTAATTAATTAATTAATTAATTTTTTTGGTAAAATGTCGTCTATACAATATTTTTTACCCAACAACACAAGCAACCCTAGAACTATGCTGCAACGCCGTCAACTTCTTTTTATTTTCTCCAAGGCAAAAACAACCCAGTAGCTGTCAATCAGTGGGGGGGAGTGGACTTTTAAGCCCCACCCACCCGCCTCTCTGATCTTGCCCTATGACAACTCAACCGCTGAGGCCCGAGGCCGTACAGAACGAGGAGCAGCTTAATAAATTACATTCATTTGTAAAAAATAGTTTACATCGTTAGCTTCACACTGAGGAGTAACAAGATAAACGTCAACAAAACAGAACTTTTTCTTTTTATCGACCACCTTCCACAAACGTTTAGGGACACGTGAGGACAGTGAGACGGAGACGTGACGGTGGATTGTCCATGTTAGTGGAGCACCGTGAGATTACATCCAGGTTTCCTCAAATGGAGTTACTTTCAAGTTAAAATAACGTTTTTTTTTTCATTAAAAATGAAATAAAATACAATAAAAAAAGAGGAAAAATTAATGATCTTGGC